TCATTTTAGCTTCGTTCGGTTACGTATTGCTGACTACAAACTAACCTGGCCTTCCCCCCCTCCCCCACTTACCAAACACCCCACCCTTAGGCTCCCCAACTGAAATATTCCAAAGAGAACTTCAATAATTCCAGAGTCACCAAATTCCCCCCAGGCTCCCCCAGGCTCCCCCACGTCGATGTATTCTGGAGGCAAATGCTAAATGCAGTTCTACAGTCAATGCAAATTAGACGATATGTTCACCGCGGTGCCGCCTCTGTTCCTGCCATTATTATTTTGGTTGGGGGCAAAGGGGGGAGGGGGAGGGGGTGGGGGAGGGGAGGGGCAGGGAGAGGGAGGGGGGAGGGCATATTGCTGCCCCCTTGTGCTGCGATGCGTGGGTGTGTGTATGTTGGTGTATATGTTTACGTCCATGTGTGTACCTGAGTGGATGTGTATGCTAATGTGTATATGGTTGAGTGGATGGTATATGCTTATGTGTATGAGTGGATGTGTATTCGTATGTGCATTCTTATGTGTATGTGGTTGAGTGGATATGTATTTCTATGTGCGATTGCTTGGATATGACTGTGTATGCCTGAGTGTCTGTGTGCGTGTATGTATAGTATGTACCTGAGCGGATGTACATGGATGAGTATGTCTGTGTATATATGTGTGTGTGTGTGTGTGTGTGTGTGTGTGTGTGTGTATATGTATGTGCGTGTATGTGCGTGTATGTGTGTGTATGCGTGTGTGTGTGTGTGTGTGTGTGTGTGTGTGTGTGTATGTATGTGCGTGTATGTGATTATTATGCGTGTGTGTGTGTGTGTGTGTATGGTTGAGTGTGTTTGTGTATGCTTGAGTGGCTGTATACGTGGATGTGTAAGCCTGAGTGTGTGTATATGTAAATGTAAATATACAGCGTTGTGTATACATGTGTGTAATGTATCTCAGTGGATGTATTTCCCGGAGTATATTTATATATGCAAACTGTATACTGTATAGAATATGAAAATCTGTATGCCTGTATAAGCGTTGACGCAGCTATGTATATTTGTGGATACGTATATGTGAAACTATATACCTATGTATGAATTTATAAAAGTATACATGAATGAGTACCCAGGTGTATTACTGTATACATAACCATTAACCATCATACCACTCCTTAACCACTTAATTATCAACTGCAACTAAGTAAATATCAACAATGCAACAAAACCATTAACTACATAATTATCAAATGCAATAAATTCAATATTTTATGAAACAAAACCTCAATTCTCACAAATACAACCAAATTATCATAATCTTCTTCAACTCTTGCAACACACACTGCAATTCTCAATGTTGCAGGAAGCTATAAAATTTGTTTTCTATTATCACAAGACGTCTATACCATTACCTTCCCTACCTTAATTGCTTACCTAATTAATTATCCTCTTCTCTCAAGGTGTTCTACAGGTATTTCTCAGCTGGTCTTCCCCCATTCGCTTTTTTTTTTTTTTTTTTTTTTTTGCTAGTACGACTCAGGGCCGGAGGTGTGTCTGTCTGTTTTTTGTCTCCAGGAACGATTTTTTGGGAAGGGAGTTCATGTCAGGGGTGTGAGGTTGATATGTAGGTGGTTAAATCCCATAGACTGGTTACTTAAACGTCTTCTCTCACACACACACACACACACACACCTACACACACACACACACACACACACACACACACACATCACAAAAATACATTCAAAATAAAAAATAAACACAATTCTTCTTTTTCCTGTACACTACAATATTGAGAGACAAGTGGCCCGCCCACCTCACCACCGCCGGACACTGTAAAGGTTAGAGACAGATGGGGAAGCAGTGGAGATAGTAGATAGACTCGATCGTGTAGAGAGAGAGAGAGACCTCCTACGTCTTGACCAGGCTGCAATGACTATCTCCTATGTCATGCTGAGTGGGGGAGGGGTTGGGAAGGGAGGGAGGGAGGGGGAGGGACAGGGAGAGAAAACTTGGAGAGAGAGAGGATGGTGAGTGAGGGCAGACAGGGAAAGAGAGGGTGGGGGTGAAGGGGTGGAGGAGAGGGTGGAGAAAGAAAAGGGTGGAGAAAAGGGGGTGGAGGTGAAATTGGAGGGTAGAAGGGGTTTGAGGGGTAGGGGTAGGGTAGGGACAGGGTGGGAGTAGAGGGTGGAGGGAGAGGGTGGAGAGGGGTGGAGGGAGAAAGTGGAGGGGTTTAGAGGGTGGAGGGTGGAGGGTTAAGGGGGTGGAGGGAGAGGAGAGGAGGGTGGGGGATGAGAGGGAGAGAAGAGGTGGAGAGGAGAGGGAAATGGGTGAAGGAGAGAGGGGGTGAAGCAGAGGGGAGAAGGGTGAGAGGGGTGGAGTGGGAAAAAAAGAGGGACAGAGGTCATAAGGAACAAGTCTCTAGTGGTAGGGTGAGGGGAATTTTTTTCAGATTCATATAATTTATTTACACAAAAATACAAAACAAATTTATAATGTAAAATTATCTTCACATCTATACCATAAAACAATACTTGGATTTTATTTTATTTTAAGATCATAAAAAAAAAGTATCTTAAAAATTCAAACACAAACTAAAGTATATTAAAAAAAAATTCCTGTCTTTATCATTTGCTAAGAATGGTATATACTTAAAAAAAATAACCACAAATTTGACTAGAATTTACTTGAAGCAGATAAAACAAATCATAAAAACTCTTACTTTAATACTACATTATAAAAAATCTAGAGAATTTTGGGGGTTCATATTTAACTTTGTAAGACAATAAAAATTACCAAACACAACGCAACACCATTTTGTCAATGCAAGACGCCTCCCCTTCCCCTCTCCCTTGGGATGGGTCACGTGGGCGTCGCGGGGAGGGGTCAGGAGTGGGGAGGGGTCGAGGGTGAGGAGGGGTCGAGGGTGAGGAGGGGTTGAGGGTGAGGAGGGGTCGAGGGTGAGGAGGGATCGAGGGTGAGGAGGGGTCGGGGTGAGGTGGGGTCGAGGGTGAGGATCGGGGTTAGGGGTGGAGCTGCGAAGAGGGGTAAGGAAGGGGGGGAGGGGGGGTGCAGGGAGGGGTCTGAAGGGGAGGAGGGTTGTAAGGAGGCGTCTGGAGGGAGGGAGGGAGGGAGGGAGGGAGGGAGGGAGGGGGGGCAGCATCTACCGTCTCCACTAATGAACCTATATCTTCCATCACGCCATGACGTAAGCAATGACGTCACCACCTGATGAGGGCCTAATCCCATCAAGGGAGGTTCAGCCTTACTATCCTCGGCACCCCCAGGCACTCTCAGGCACCCACAGGCATTCCTAGGCACACTCTCAGGCACTTCTAAACACCCTGAGACACTCCAAAGCACAACCAGGCACTTTCAGGCACTCCTAGGAATCCTCAGGGACACTCAGGCAGTTTAGGCATAATCGGGCACTACAAGAATTCCTTAGGGACATTCGGGCATTTCTTAGGCATACTCAGGTACTCCCATGCATTTCTTAGGCATACTCAGGCACTCCCAGGCATTTCTTAGGCATACCCAGGCATTCATAGACACCATCTGGGCCCTTCAATCACTCGTAGGCACTGTGACCTCCAAGCACCCTACAGTAACCCCAGGGAGTATAACAGTGGGGAGATTAAAATGGTATAACTGCAGTATGGGGAGAAAATATGCCAATAGGTTGTCTACGTAATGTAACTTAACCTAATTTAACCTAATCTACCCTCAACCTAACTTAATCTAATCTGACCTAACCTAACCCGACCTAACGTGAACCAGACTTGACCTGTCCTAACCTAATGTAATCTGACCTCACCTGAACGAAAAACTCAATCTAAACCAAACCAAATTTATTCTAACTAAACCTAACCTAACCAAACCTAATTTCAACCTAACTTAATCTTACTCAACCTAACTTAACCTAACCAAGAGTGACAATTGCTGAGAAACACAATCAACATAACAACATTCTTTGATTCGAAAAGTTCAACAGGCTCTTCCGATTCTGTCACGGGCTGAAAAATCATGAGAGTTCGTTACTAAATTACTGAGACTGTAGCAGCAGCCATGTTGGGAAGCAAGTATTGTGGGATCACCTGTATATTAGGCACCCTAGTTTATCTGAGCTTATAATTTAAACACCTTTATGTTAACTTAATCTAACCTTAATCTAATCTAAATCTAACCTAACCTAACCTAATCTAACCTACCGAAATATAATCTTCAAATACTCCAATATATCTCAAAACTCCCCCCAGGACACCCCCGAGTACCCCAGGATGATCCACAAGTACCTTAGGACATCTCCAAGTACCGTAGGACACCCCCAAGTACCTTAGGACACCTCCAAGTACCCCAGGACACCCCAAGTACTCCTAAGACGCCCCTAAAGCAAAACCAAGCACCATTAAACACCCAAATACATACCCACACTCTAAGGCAACCGTCAAGCACTCAATGGCACATACGATACACCGTGGCACTCAATGGCACATATACGATACCGTGGCACTCAATAGCACGCACGATATACCGTAGCTCATGCAGCTGCTGATATACCAAAATGACACTCAATGGCACATACGATACACCGTGGCACTCAATGGCACATACGATACACCGTGGCACTCAATGGCACATACGATACACCGTGGCACTCAATGGCACATACGATATACCGTGGCACTCAATGGCACATACGATATACCGTGGCACTCAATGGCACTGACCTTACACATAAGACACTTTTTTTTTGCCTCCAGCCTCCCCCAATAGCCATACCTTCTCCACCATTTTATTACCTTAAAATTATATATCCTAATACATAAGTAGCTATCCTAGCTGTGCTGAGTTAGTTGAGCCGCAGATCTATGTGACATTCAGTGACTGTTGCCTCGTAGTCAATATCTGCAACTGTTGTCGGCGTTATGGCCGATGCTCTCGTTCCCCTGAGGCAGAGCAAAGCCGACCGAAGGAGAGAGAAGGACAGTCGACATCTCATCCAGGCTGTAACATAACTTCTGGGCTGCCGCTTCTGTTCGGATAGCACCTCCGCGAGTCTGGCGTAGAAGCATCTTGCACTTGGTCCCATCCCACCAGAGGTTGTGAACACTAGAAGAGTGAAGCTGCCTTGATCAACGTTCTGAATTCTGTATGCCCTTATCTTGTCGTTCTCGTTCCTCCTGTGTGCAGCATCGAGAGCTAAGTTGCGGTGGCATGCAGCCATGGGATAAAAAATCCTCATGTCGAAGAAAGCTCGCTGTCCCCGCGTCCAGAATCCTCGAGCACTGACGTCAACACGGACTTCGTTGGATGTGTTTGAAGTCGTATGTTGGAAAATCTCACCGTCCAATGGCAGGAGGGTCGGTTCTACCCTGACATCACGGCAGATTTCCTTCAGCATATTTGCTGTGAGATCCCTTTTGCTGTGAGATCCCTTTTGCTGTGAGATCCCTTTTGCTGTGAGATCCCTTTTGCTGTGAGATCCCTTACTTCGTCATGCCTCATGCATATGAAGCCCCCTTTCTTGCACACCATGGCGTGATCGACGCCATAGGAAGAGCCACACACGCATTGGGAGGGCAAACCTTCTACTGGCTTACCGTACCTTAGAGCACCTAAGACACACTCGAGTAGTTGTCTGGCACCCATGACACTCTCTGGCACCTAAGACCCCCCCCCGGCACTCTCTGTTACGTAAAACACTACGGCACTCAATGGCTCTTAAGACACTCATAAATGTACACACACACACACACACACACACACACACACACACACACACACACACACACACACACACACACACACACACACACACACACACACACACACACACACACCTTTTACATACATACACTTTTACACACACACACCTTTTACATACACACTTTTACACTTACACACTTTACGCACACACACACACACACTCTCACACACACACACTCACACACAAAAGCAGGAGCACATGGAGCGAAACAGAGGACTGAACAAACTCGTTGCGAGTGACAAACAAACAACTCCAACGACATACCAAAAAACTCCCCCCCTTACCCCGTCTCCTCCCTCTTACCCCTTATCCTTCCCAATTACCCCCTCTCCTACCTTTACCCCCTTACCTTTCTTCTTTCGTCTAAATCTCTTCCCCCTTTACCCTTCCTCTTACCTCCTTCCCCCTTTTTTTCCCATCTCCTAACCCCTCCTCCCTTCCTCCTTCACCCCTCTTCTTCTCTCTCCTCCCTTAACTCTTATAATCACCCCTCCTCTCTCCTCTCCCTCCCGTCCTCTCCCGTAGTTACTCTCCCATCCGCCCTCTAAGCCAGTTTTCCTCCTATTCCTCCTCCTTTTCCTTCTCTTACCCTCTTCTACCTCCCATAGTCCCCTCCTTCCTCTCCTAGGTACGGCTCCAATAAGTACCCCTCCTTCTAAGGTTCGTTCCTCTCTATCCCTCTCAAATCCCTCTTTCCGTCCTTTCATCCTTCTTTATCCCTTTCAACAGTTCCCCCTCTTTCTTCTCTATCCTCTTAACACCTTCCTTTTCCTTCTCTCCCGACATTTTTCTCCTATCCTTTTCTCTCTGTATCTCCCTCCTCCTTCCTTCCTCTTTTCCCTCTCATTACCTCCCCTCTCCCTTCTCTCTTCCTTTTCTCTCTCCACCTCCCTCCTTCTATCCTTACACCTCCCCTTTTCCCTCGACGTCTACCTTCCTCTCCTCCTCCTTTCCCCTCCTATTTTACAATTTCTCCTTTCTAACTATCGCCTCTCCCTCCTCCATCCCTCCCTTTTCCTCCCTCCTTCTCCATCCTCCTCCTTCTGAGCCTCACTACCCTCATCCCAATTAGTCCCTCCATCACTGACCCCCCAACCTCCTTTTCCATCCCCAGTCTTTCTTTCCTCTCTCGCCTTCTCTAGCCCTCACCCCTCTTCCAGTCTTCCTCCTCCTCTTATTCTTCCATTTATCTTCTCTCACCTCCCTCTTTCTCCTCTAGGGTTTTATTCATGTCTCTCTCTCTCTCTAATAGTTCCCCTCCCTCCTCCCTCTCCCTCTCTTCTTCCCGTTACCTCCTTTATCCCTCACCTTCCCACTTTTCCTATCCGACCGGTGACCCTCAAATCTGTCATGATACCACACAACAAATCTCAACAGTAAAAACGCAGTTTATCAGCAATTCAACCATGCCTTGACATGACAGTTACGATCGTTCGCTTTCAGGTGTCAACACAAACATCTTCGATTACCCTCCTTGCGGCTACAAACCGATAACGTTTAAACTGATATCGTTCACACAACCGATATATTTTGCACAGCCGATATCGTCTGGAAACACTACCTAAACAGATCATCATTTCCCTATATATATATGTGTGTGTGTGTGTGTGTGTGTGTGTGTGTGTGAGTGTGTGCGTGTGTGTGTGCGTGTGTGTGTGTGTGCGTGTGTGTGGGTGTGTGTGTGTGCGTGTGAGTGTGTGTGTGTGCGTGTGTTGTGTGCGTGTGTGTGTGTGTGTGCGTGTGTGTGTGTGTGTGTCGTGTGTGTGTGCGTGTGTGTGTGTGTGTGTGTGTGTGTGTGTGTGAGGTGTGCGTGTGTGTGTGTGTGTGTGTGTGGGTGTGTGTGTGTGTGTGAGTGTGCGTGTGTGTGTGCGTGTGTGTGTGTGTGCGTGTGTGTGTGTGTGTGTGAGTGTGTGCGTGTGAGTGTGTGTGTGTGCGTGTGTGGGTGTGTGTGTGTGTGTGCGTGTGTGTGTGTGTGTGTGTGAGGTGTGCGTGTGTGTGCGTGTGTGTGCGTGTGTGTGTGGTGTGTGTGTGTGCGTGTGGGGTGTGCGTGTGTGTGTGCGTGTGTGTGTGTGTGCGTGTGTGTGTGAGTGTGTGTGTGTGCGTGTGAGTGTGTGTGTGTGCGTGTGTGTGTGTGCGTGTGTGTGTGTGCGTGTGTGTGTGTGTGTGCGTGCGTGTGTGTGCGTGCGTGTGTGTGTGTGTGTGTGTGTGTGTGGGGAGGGAGGGAGGGAGGGAGGGAGGTAGCCAGACAGTCACGCACACGAGGTAAAACACACGAGGCCGTGGGAACGTCCACCATCCCTCCACCTTGGTAGTTCTCACGCCCTCCCTCTCTCTTCATCTCTCCCTTTATATTCCCCTTATTCTCCCTTCATATTTCCTTCCCCCTCCTCCTCTTATTCTCCTTTTATCTCTAACTTACCTCTTACTCTCCCTTTATATCTTCCTTCGCATTTCTCCTTCCCCATTCTCCCTTCTCTTTCTTGCTCTCTCTCCTCTCTCTCTCTCTCTCCTCTCTCTCTCTCTCTCTCTCTCTCTCTCTCTCTCTCTCTCTCTCTCTCTCTCTCTCTCCTCTCTCTCCTTTTCTTCTTATTCCTTTTTCCTCTCACTCTTCCTCTTCTTTATCTGTTTCTCTTGTTACAACTCCTCCTCTCAATCCTCTCTTTATCCTCCACGTCCCTCTCCCTCTACACCCTTCTCCCATTCTTCCTTCCCTCTCCTTCCTTATCCCTTCTCTCCCCCTTTTCACCTCCCTCCCCACCTTCTATCCTCTTCCTCGCCCCTCCCTCTTCTCCTCCCTCTTCTTTCTCCGTCCTCCCTCTTCCTCCGTCCCTCCTCTTCTTCCGCCCCGCCCTCTTCTCCTCCTCCTCTTCCTCCGCCCCTCTCTTCTTCCGCCCCTCCCTCCTCTTCCTCCGTCCCTCCTCTTCCTCCGTCCCTCCTCTTCCTCTCCGTCCTCCTCTTCTCCTCCTCCTTCCCTCCCCTAACCATCAGTGTTTTTCCTCCCGGTTCTCTCACTTCATCACACCTCTCACCTCTCACCTCTCACCAACCTCTCATCTCTCACCTCTCACCTCTCCCAACTTCACAGGTGCACGAGATATCCCTAAACCTCTAGCCACAAATTCACACAGACAGACTGACAGACAGACAGACGGGTGACGGATGGACTGACAAACAAATAGAGCAGCTACAAAGACGGACTATCATCATCATCCCTCACCTCACCCCACTCCAACGCCACTCCTCGCTCTCAACACCCTCCTTGCTCTCACCCTACCCTCTCAACACCACTCCTTACCCCCCTATCTCTCTCTCCTTACAGTTCTCGTCCTTCTTCCTCTCGTGTCCTTGTCTGCGAATCCTCCCTTCATTCCTTTATTCTTCCATTCCTCCTCCTCCCCTCCATTACCCCCCCCCCACCTCCACACCTCCTTGTCTCCTCCATAACATTTCGTCTGCTACAGGTAAATATTGTTTCACGAGATCTCAGGTGACCAGAGACTCGTGCAATATACCAGGAAGAGCTGCCCTGAGACGACTGCTGGAGCTGCCCTGAGACGACTGCTGGAGCTGCCCTCGAGACGACTGCTGGAGCTGCCCTGAGACGACTGCTGGAGCTGCTGAGACGACTGCTGGAGCTGCCCTGGGACGACTGCTGGAGCTGCCTGAGACGACTGCTGGAGCTGCCCTGAGACGACTGCTGCAGCTGCCCTGAGACGACTGCTGGAGCTGCCCTGAGACGACTGCTGGAGCTGCCTGAGACAGCTGCTGGAGCTGCCCTGAGACGACTGCTGGAGCTGCCCTGAGACGACTGCGGGCTGCCTGAGACGACTGCTGGAGCTGCTGAGACGACTGCTGGAGCTGCCCTGAGACGACTGCTGGAGCTGCCCTGAGACGACTGCTGGAGCTGCTGGACGACTGCTGGAGCTGCCTGAGACGACTGCTGGAGCTGCCCTGAGACGACTGCTGGAGCTGCCCTGAGACGACTGCTGGAGCTGCCCTGAGACAGACTGCTGGGAGCTGCCCTGGGACGACTGCTGGGAGCTGCCCTGAGACGACTGCTGGAGCTGCCCTGAGACGACTGCTGGAGCTGCCCTGAGACGACTGTTGGGCTGGCCTGAGACGGCTGCTGGAGCTGCGCCTGAGACGGCTGCTGGAGCTGCCCTGAGGACGACTGCTGGAGCTGCCCTGAGACGACTGCTGGAGCTGCTGCCTGAGACGGCTGCTGGAGCTGCCCTGGGACGGCTGCTGGAGGCCCTGAGACGACTGCTGGGCGCTGGAGACGACTGCTGGGCACTGGGACGACTGCTGGAGCTGCCCTGAGACGACTGCTGGAGCTGCCCTGAGACGACTGCTGGAGCTGCCTGGGGCGACTGCTGGCTGCCCTGAGACGACTGTGAGCTGCTGGGGACGACTGCTGGAGCTGCCCTGAGACGACTGCTGGAGCTGCCCTGGGACGACTGCTGGAGCTGCCTGAGACGACTGCTGGAGCTGCCCTGAGACGACTGCTGGGGCTGCCCTGGGAACGACTGCTGGAACTGCCCTGAGACGACTGGAGCTGCCCTGGGACGACTGCTGGAGCTGCCCTGGGACGACTGCTGGGCTGCTGAGACGACTGCTGGAGCTGCCTGAGACGACTGCTGGAGCTGCCCTGGGACGACCGGGCTGCCCTGGGAGACGACTGCGGAGCTGCCCTGGGACGACTGCTGGAGCTGCCCTGAGACGACTGTTGGGCCCTGAGACGACTGTTGGAGCTGCCCTGAGACGACTGCTGGAGCTGCCCTGGGACGACTGTTGGAGCTGCCCTGAGACGACTGTTGGAGCTGCTGAGAACGGCTGCTGGAGCTGGCCTGGGACGGCTGCTGGAGCTGGCCTGAGAGGCTGATGGACTGGCCTGGGGCGGCTGCTGGAGCTGGCTTGAGACGGCTGTTGGAGCTGCCCTAGGGCAGCTGGAGCTGGCCAGACAGCTGCTGGGCTCCTGGGCAGCTGCTACAACACCTGCTACAAAGTATCCCTCCACCTCCCTACCTCCACACCTCCCCCCTCCCTCCCACACCTCCCCTCCCTCCCCTCCCTCCCCTCCCTCCTCCCTCCCTCCCTCCCCCCTACCCTCCCTCCCCTCCCCAACACCTCCCCCCTCCCTCCCTCCCTCCCACACCTCCCCTCTCCCTCCCTCCCTCCCCTCCTCCCCTCCCCTCCCCTCCCACCTCCCCTTCCCTCCCACCTCCCTACCCTCCCTCCCCACACCTCCCCCCCTCCCTCCCTCCCCCTACCCCCTTCCTCCCCACCTCCCTACCTCCTCCCTCCCCCCCCTCCCTTCCTACCTCCCCACCTCCCCCCTCCCTCCCACCTCCCCTCCTCCCTCCCCCACCCCCCCCTCCCCTCCCCACACCTCCCCCCTCCCTTCCCTACCTCCACACCTCCCCCCCTCCCCCCCTCCCTTCCCTACCTCCCACCTCCCCCCTCCCTCCACACCTCTCCCTCCTCCCCACCTCCCCCCTCCCCTCCCACCTCCTCCACCTCCCCCCTCCCTTCCCCACCTCCCCCTCCCCCCCTCCCTCCCCACCCCTCCCTCCCCTCCCCCCTCCCCTCCCCCCCTCCTCCCCTCCCCCCTCCCCTCCCTCCCTCCCTCCCCTCCCACCTCCCCCACCCCTCCCCACCTCCCCTCTACCTCCCCCCTTCCTACCTCCCACCTCCCCTCCTCCCCACCTCCTCCCCTACCCCCTCCCTTCCCTACCTCCCCACCTCCCCCCCTCCCTCCCTCCCTCACCTCCCCTCCCCTTCCCCTACCCCTCCCTCCCCCTCCCCCTCCCCCCTCCCCTCCCCACACCTCCCACCTCCCCCCTCCCCTTCCTACCTCCCCCTCCCCCCTCCCCTCCCCCTCCCCTCCCCTCCCTCCCCCCCTCCCCTCCCTCCTCACCTCCCCTCCCTTCCCTACCTCCACCTCCCCCTCCCTCCACACTCTCCCCCTCCCCCCCCTCCCTCCCTCCTCCCCTCCCCCCTCCCCTCCCACCTCCTCCCCTCACCCCCCCTCCCCCCTCCCTCCCTCCTCCCTCCCCTCCCTTCCCTACCTCCCCCTCCCCCCCTCCCTCCACCTCCTCCCCTACCCCCTCCCTTCCCCTCCCCTCCCCTCCCTCCCCTCCTCCCCTCCCCCTCTCCCTCCCCATACCTCCCAAAGCTACACTAAAAGCTATAAATCCATAAAAATTTGACCTCCGGAAGTTCATGATCGCTACATATACAGATATTTTTATTTTTGCCAAATGGTTTCCTGTACTCTCGGTAGGTGAGTGGGGAGAGAGGGAGTGGGATAAAGTATTTTACTGAAATATCGGGGAGAGGGAAGGAGAAAGGAAGGAGAGTGGTGGTGAGAGTGGGGGAGAGGGAAAGTGGGGAGAGGAAAGAATGGGGAGAGGAAAATGGGGAGAAATTGGTTAGAGTGGGAGGGAGTGAAAGGAGATAAAGTGTGAGAGAAGGAAAGAGGCTAACAGAGATGGGACAAGGTGTGAGGTGAGAGGGAAGGGGAAGACGTCACTGAGTAAGAGGTGAGAGGTGGAAAATGGATGAGATGTAAGAGAGGGAGTGGATGAAGGATGGTATGAGGACGAGATGAGGAGGTTAAAAGAGAGAGAAGGAGATAAAGGATGAGGAATGAGGTAATGGATGAGAGAGAGAGGAGGGATAGAGGCCCGTGGAGAGAAAAGAGGAGGAGGGATAGAGAGAGTGTTGAGGAGGACAAGGGGAAGGGATGCTGGGTGAAAGAGGAGGAGGGATGAGAGGGAGAAGGAGAGGGTAGTAGTGAAAGGGAGGAAGAGGAGAGTAGGGAAAGGTAGAAGAGGAGTCGTGGAGGAGAGAAAGTAGTGAGAGGGACATGGGGAAAGACGGAGATTAGAGAGGAAGGAGGTGATGAGAGGGAGAGGAAGGAGGTGATGAGGAGGAGGGAGGAGAGTGAGAGGAGAGGAAGGAGAGTGATGAGAGGGGGGAAGAAGAAAGACATTAGGAAAATTACCTAAAAAAATTGTTAATATGCAAATTCTGAGATAAAATAATAATTCCGGTAATACAGGTGAGGACTTAATATAGAAGGGTTCCGGTGCTGGTATCACCTCTACCTGTCCCGTAAAATATATCATAATTGAAACGTGAAGCAAATTTTGTTTGTTTGTTTTTGTTTGTTTGTTTGTTGTAGTGGAGTGAATAGTTGACTGAGTTGAAAGTCCGTAAGTGGAGACAGGCGCCAATGATGATGATGATATTGATGATGATGACGACGCTGTTGATTTATGAATAATAATAATGACGATGACTCATGAATAATAATGATGATTAATGAACTGACGGATGATGATTTATGAATATTGATGTTGAATATATGATAATGATGACTCATGAATAATAATAATGATTAATTGATGATGATAGCGGTGACGATTGATAATGAAGATGACGATGAATATTAAGTATAAGTCAATAAACGGGAAAAACACACACACACACACACACACACACACACACACACCCTGGTCCCATTTTTCATCAGTACATCAAAGGTGTCCATCAATCAACTATGAATATCACAGGTAACACAACCAACCCATACCCGCTGCCTCCTCCCACGAAGTCCAGAAGTGAGGGAGGGATGAGGGGGTGATGGAATGAGAGATGATGGAAAGGGAGGCTAGGGGTGATAGAAAGGGGGTGATGGAGGTGATGGAATGGGGATGATGGAAGGGAGCTAGGGGTGATAGAAAGGGCTGATGGATGGGGTGATGGAATGGGGATGATGGAAATGGGGGCTAGGGGTGATAGAAAGGGGGCTGATGGTGGGGTGATGGAATGGGGATGATGGAAAGGGAGGCTGGGGGTGATGAAAGTAGGGCTGATGGAGGGTGTGGGATGGGGGTCAGAGAAATGGCACCTGGGCCCCCTTTCATACCTGTATCTACCTGTGTATGATTTCTGGTATGAATCAATTTACTAATGGTTCTGGCCAGGTAATTTATCATCATATTCTCACTTTCATTAGTTTATATTATTTAAATATATGTAAACTTCAATGTCCCATCAATATTTCGAGCTAATATATATTGTTTGAACCTCCCCCAGTCTTCTGTGTTTGAACCCACCCTTCTATGTTTGGACCCACCCTTCTATGTTTGGACCCACCCTCTCTCTATGTTTGGACCCACCCTTCTATGTTGGACCCACCCTTCTATGTTTGGACCACCTTCTATGTTTGGACCCACCTTCTATGTTTGGACCCACCCTTCTATGTTTGGACCCACCCTTCTATGTTTGGACCCATTCTTCTATGTTTGGACCCACCCTTCTATGTTTGGACCCACCCTTCTATGTTTGGACCCATTCTTCTATGTTTGGACCCACCCTTCTATGTTTGGACCCATCTTTCTATGTTTGGACCCACTCTTCTATGTGGACCCACCTTCTATGTTTGGACCCACCCTTCTATGTTTGGACCAACCCTTCTATGTTTGGACCCATTCTTCTATGTTTGGACTCACCTTCTATGTTTGAACCCACCCTTCTATGTTTGGACCAACCCCTTCTATGTTTGGACCCACCCTTCTATGTTTGGACCCACCCTTCTATGTTTGGACCCATCTTTCTATGTTTGGACCCACTCTTCTATGTTTGGACCCACCCTTCTATGTTTGGACCCACCTTCTATGTTTGGACCAACCCTTCTATGTTTGGACCCATTCTTCTATGTTTGGACTCACCCTTCTATGTTTGAACCCACCCTTCTATGTTTGGACCGACCCTTCTATGTTTGGACCCACCCTTCTATGTTTGGACCCACCCTTCTATGTTTGGACCCATTCTTCTATGTTTGACCCACCCTTCTATGTTTGGACCCATCTTTCTATGTTTGGACCCACTCTTCTATGTTTGGACCCACCTTCTATGTTTGGACCAACCCTTCTATGTTTGGACCAACCCTTCTATGTTTGGACCCACTCTTCTATGTTTGGACCTCTTCTATGTTTGGACCTCTTCTATGTTTGGACCAACCCTTCTATGTTTGGACCAACCCTTCTATGTTTGGACCCATTCTTCTATGTTTGGACCCATTCTTCTATGTTTGGACCCACCCTTCTATGTTTGGACCAATCCTTCTATGTTTTGACCCACCCTTCTATGTTTGGACCCACCCTTCTATGTTTGGACCCACCCTTCTATGTTTGGACCCACCCTTCTATGTTTGGACCCACCCTTCTATGTTTGAACCCACCCTTCTATGTTTGGATCCATCTTTCTATGTTTGGACCCACCCTTCTATGTTTGGACCCACCCTTCTATGTTTGGACCCACCCTTCTATGTTTGGACCCACCCTTCTATGTTTGGACCCATCTTTCTATGTTTTGACCCACCCTTCTATGTTTGGACCTACCTCTCTATGTTTGGACCCACCCTTCTATGTTTGGACCCACCCTTCTATGTTTGAACCCACCCTTCTATGTTTTGACCCACCCTTCTATGTTTGGACCCACCCTTCTATGTTTGGACCCATTCTTCTATGTTTTGACCCACCCTATGTTCGGACCCACCCTTCTATGTTTGGACCCACCCTTCTATGTTTGGACCCACCCTTCTATGTTTGGACCCACCCTTCTATGTTTGGACCCATTCTTCTATGTTTGGACCCACCCTTCTATGTTTGGACCCACCCTTCTATGTTTGGACCCACCCTTCTATGTTTGGACCCACCCTTCTATGTTTGGACCCACCCTTCTATGTTTGGACCCACCCTTCTATGTTTGGACCCACCCTTCTATGTTTGGACCCACCCTTCTATGTTTGGACCCCCCCTCCCCTTATCTTCCTGTGACCCCAAAATACAACAATTAAGTGAATTTAATACAGCAGTTAGGTTAGGATTAGGTTAGGTT